AGTTACTATTAAATAGTTCCGGGTTCGTGGGACGACGTTGGTCATGCGATTCACGCGCTACCTTAATAATTAACTGTAAGAGAATGAGAGAAAAACTTCGAAGGGTTCCCTCTTATGTTAGAAATACCTTTAAGAAATCCCTCCAAGGAAGTTGATGATGTTAGGTTGCTCGGTAAAGCAACCATGTGTCGTTGACTAACCATCTTCACTATTTTTTCTTTCTCTTCCTTTTTTTCCTTCTTTTTTTGCTACTTTTCAAGCTTCGCACGAAGTATACCTGCGAACGAGACGAATTTACGAACGAAGTAAGTACACTCATACGTAACTACGATAATCAAATCAATTTCTTATTTGACCATTCGTTAATATGATTATAAAAAGTAAACGTACGATACTCGATGTAAAAATTTTCAATTAGAAGTATTAAAATATAAGATGTTAATAGTTAAATAGATTGCTTTTTCTTCTTCACCTAAATATATTTTCAATATTAAAAGAAAATTATGAAAAAATTGTTTAATGTTATGGGTCTACCTCGATCGATTAGATTATTTTTTGTACGACTAATTAACTTGATTTTTTCACATAAAAATAGATATTTTCGATAAGACGTATCATTGTTCTTAAATATTTATCTCATTTAATTATTTTTCGTATTCTCAATCACATAAATATATTTCTAATCGATTTAATTTAATTCCATAAGGATTCCTTCCAATTTTGAAAAGATTTACTAATTAGTTTACTGCTGCCATCTATTCACTCATATTATTCTGATAACGCAACTTAAATGGTATAAAATCAAACTCCAAAGAATAGAAGAAGAAATGATACCTTCTTTATCATCTGCAGTTAAATACTACATTCGGTAACATCATTTTGTGTTAACAAAAAAGTAACGTTTTACAATAAATAAGAAAATTGTTTAAAATTTATAAAATTTTATCCTGTTTAAAAAAAAAAAAAATACTAACATAGAAACATAATTATGTTTTTATTCTATGTATTATAAATTATTCTAATGCAATAAATAATTAAAATGATCTAATTAATAATTTTTTATTATAACTTTGCAAAAATCCAAATAGATAATCATACGAATACGAATTCTACAAATTCGTACAGCCGATAAAGAAATTAGAACTATCGGTAAAGAAATTAGAACTATATCACGTATCATCTATTGACACAATCGCACGTATGTCCCTTCGTGAAGCTTACATATACGTATGTTATTTTGTGTGAATTTTACTGATTAGAACATATTGGAACAACGTAAATAAAAGTAATTAGCGAATAACTGACATCAACGTTTCAAAGACAAACTATACGATCCGAAGTTCGAATTTCATAAAAAATTCAATAGAATATATCGTTAACGTCTTTTAACATCGAAAAATAACCTCTTTTTTCGTAAAAAAAAAATATGAAAGAATAACAGATAGAGAAAGAAAGAAAGAAAGAAAGAAAGAAGAATGGTGTTAAAGGAGAACGTAACAAATAGGTCAGATATTTTAACAGTCATTAACATTGTCGATAAAGATCTCGCATTTCATTTTTGAAGCCTTCGTTAAAAGTGATAATTGGGTTGACTTTAACAGTTATTAATGAGTGCAAAGTGATCAGCAATAATTGGTTGATCCGTTTATCCTTGAAAAACATGATGATTAAAAGATGTACTGGATTAGTGGAATGCATTATTCTATTTAATTTATATTCATTTCAAATTTCCCGCCTATTGGTATGCATGAAAATTATATATTCAAAACTACTCGAATCAAATATAAAAAATTGAAGATATATATATATATATATCTTATTGTTTAACATTAAATATCTCTAAGGAGTATATCGAATATCGATGCAAATATGCAACTAAGATAGATGTGCACGTTTTGATTATATACCTTGATCTTCAGTATCAGATTCTTTTAGTCCGGTTTAAATTTTTACTTCATTTTAATAGAAAAAAAAAAAAAAAAAAAAAAAAAAAAAAAAATAATAATAAATAAAAAAATAAAATAAAATACGGAAGATATATGACAATACAAAAAAAATATAATTAATTTTTCTTATCGATTGATAATCAATCAATTAATATTAATATACGAACAACGCGTGATTATATAATGTGTAACGTAAAAACGTATAAAAATGTTTTATCGCATAAACACATGTAAAAGAAATTATGTGTAAAAGAGATATAAGGAACAAGAAAAAAAATAAATAAATAAATGTGCGATTGTAAAAATAACTAAAAAAATAATATTCAACTAAATAATAATAGTAATATCATACAAGAATATCAGAGGATATATAAACGTCTCTCTAGTCAAAGGCTGTTAATGACTACACTTCCATGCATATATATATATATATATATATGCATCGCGTTATATCTCGTCACGTGAAACATGTCTCTTTTACTCCTGCATACTTGATCACGAGGCAGATGCAATCGTAACTGCTACTGGCAGGTCGGTAACCCAATGCATTTTTCCTTATTATCGACTAAAGCACCTAGCGGTTAAAACTTTGCATGTAAACTATCGAAGAAAGTTTCTATAATTACATTCGAATTATTTTATTATTTACCTCTTTAACCTCGTAACATTTAATTCCAAAAATTGATACAGTTGTACAAATGATATTTAATATGATAAATTTTTTGACGATCAGATATTATCTTAAAAATTATATCTCTCTTTCTTTTTGATCTTGTTTTATCAAATGTAAATATATATATATATATATATATATATATATGTTTATATATGTGTATATATATATATATATATATTTGTGTGTGTGTGTTGTTGCGTGCAAATATTACTTTTATTATTTTTTATTTTATTACAAATTAATAATTCATTGTCGAAAAATTTGCAGAAAAATTAAAATAAATTTTATGTACATACGTATATATATATACATTTGTACATACATAATATACATATATGCCTACGTGTATCTCTCTCTCTCTCTCTGTGCATGTATATAACCTCGATACATTTTTTCTAACCTCCTTTTAACATAATATACAAATAAGACTTTATATATTATTACCTAAAAATAATGAAAAAATAACAATCGTACATAAGTAATCGATCATATATACTAATTGATCTAATATAAATAATAATAATTAAAATTAAAATAAACAATAATATAGACACTTACGTTTTTCATACGCTTCGTTTTATGCAAGCACGAACATTCTTAAAATGAAAATATTGTCGCAGCTTCAATTTGCAGTTGCAGTTTCCTTTTCTATTATTACTATTATTATTTTTTTTTTCTTTTTTTTTATTTATTTTTTTTTTTTATTTTTTAAGAAAACTTACGTAGTCCTCAAGATGGCGTCAATGCATTCTCCTTCTCTTCCCTCTTCCTCTTGATATGGTTTGTCTGGATTGTTTTCACTTCCCGCAAGACGGGAAGAAAACGTCAGGCGCCCCTTCCGCCCTGTAACGTCGAAACTCGACCTTCTGATACTCTCCGACAGAGACGGGAGCGGTCGGATGTGTTTAGGGTCAATTTGTCTATTATCTCGTTGTCAGTTTTATTTATTATACATACATCTAACGTCTCCCACGACTACCAAATGATACGTGTGATCTTTCAACGTATATATCACTTTCTTCGAAAATTTTGCGATCATAAAAAGAAACTATAAAAAAAAAAAATTTTATTTTCTCAAGAAAATTAGAAAATAATTATTCGATTAGATTGTTTCATTAAAAAAGAAAAAAGAAAGGAAAAGGAAAAAAATGAATAAGATCTAAAATTGTTTTATCGAAGGAATTACTTAAGAGAGAGAGAAAGAGAAGAGAGAGAGAGAGAGAGAGAGAGAGAGAGAGAGAGAGAGAGAGAGAGATAGAGAGAATCAGGTGACATACAATTGAATAAAAAGAAAAATTGATGAGAAGGGATGCTACATCAGTCGGCGCCACTCATCGATACGTCACTGTCATTCTCATCTATAAGTAAAAGAGAAAGAGAGTAAGAGAGAGAAGTGAGAGGGAAACTGAAAGAGAGAGATAGAGAGTGAGAGAGAGAACGGGTGAGAGAGAGAAAGAGAGAGAGAGAGAAAGAGAGAACGAGAGAGAGAGAGAGAGAGAGAGAGATAGTGAGAATGCGCGTACTCGAAGAATCGCAAATTCGTTGTTCAAATGATAGGAGGATTAAAAGTGAAATTACTTTTTGATATTTGAAAAAAAAATCTACAAATTTACCCCTTTACACAAAATTTGATCAACCAATGGTACAAATTTTTAAATATCATAAATAGTTATTAACACGTGTAGAAACACGGAATTATATTTATTTGAAACCCTGTCGTGTAATACGAATTTTTTCATTATAAAAAAAAAAAAAAAAAAATAAGAAAAGAAATAAATAAACAAATAAATTGCCATCAATCGTACAAAATAGAAAGGGAAAATTGTACTTTTTTTTTAATTTATCGTACCGCTTTAATTTTTTTTTTTTCTTTTTTTTTTTCATTAGAAAAAAAGATCTACGAAATACACATTAATTTATATATTATGAAAGTTTCTTATTGATATCGTGTGCTAAATCATATATATATATATATATTTATATATATAAAAAAAAAAGAGAGAAAGAAATATATTTATTCTTAATCTTCTCCCTTTATTAGATACGAGGATCAAGCAGGAAAAGAAGTGGGGGAAAGAAAAAAGGAGGTGGGAGTGAGGGCTGGCAACACGGTGAGTGCGTGTTCCGTCGTTGCTGTCATCATCCTTCTCTCTCTCTCTATCTCTCTATCTCTCTCTCTCTCTCTTTATCTCTCACCCACTCTCTCTCTCTCTCTCTCTTTCTCACCCACTCTCTCTCTCTCTCTCTTTTTCCTTCTCACCCACTCTCTCTCTCTCTTTCTCTCTCTCTCTTTCTTACTCTCTATCTGTATCTCTCTTAGTTTCTCCTTCCCACCGGTAGAGGTAGTAAGGGTGGGGAAAACTACTCTCGGAGTGCACAGAAACGCGACAGTTAATCCTCGCGCGTTTACGGGGTCGTATGATCGACCATACGGGCGAGAGAAGGCAAATTCATTAGGGGAAGAATTTAATTTGTTCTTCTTCAACATTTTCAATTTTTTTCCCTTCTTTTCTTTTTTTTTTTCATTTTTTTTTCTATTCCTCTTTGCCATTCAATAAATCATTATTCCCTTTTTGATTTGTCTTTATCGTGACTTTGCAATCGATTATCGAAGGAAGCAAAACACATACGTTGGATTTAACTTGTCGATAATAAAAGAGAGAGAGAGAGAAAGAGAGAGAAAGAGAGACTTCATATTTTGAAGGATCAAAAAAAGAGGAACGATGACAACACGTCTTTGCTGACTCCTACGAACTTTTTTTTGTAAGTAACTATGTAATGTATAATCAATCGAGATATTATTTCTCCTTTTCATGTAAAAAGTGAAAGAAATGGAAAAGAAAAAAGAAAAATAAGGTTAATAAAAATCTAACTCATATATATATATATATATATATATATATATATACACGAATTCTGTTGTCGTCGAATAAAAAGATTAATTAGTCGGTATGATCGATTACACATATAAGTCCACTCAATATATCGAATATTGGTCTAACCTCAAAAAATAAAAAATTAACAAAAAAAAAAAGACAACACAAAAAGAATGAATTAAAACAATACAAATTTACGTATACAAGTGACAAGATTTTGCGAAGAGCTTCTTGCTAACCATAGTCCCGTCATTATTGTCGGTAGTGTGTATTATCATCAATTGACACAGTAAAAAATAGGAAAAAAAAAGAAAAAAACAACGAAAAGAAAAGAAAAGAAATGGTAAAAATAAAAATAAAAATAGAAAAGTGCGTTTCAATCTCTTTTTTTATTTTCACGCGACAATCGCGATAATGCGAAGGTATTTTCTTTGATAAATCATACTTCTTTATTAGGACACACACAAAACACGTGCTCCATCATTCTTCTTTTCCCATTGAAACATTGGAATGTGACTCGAAATATAAATATAAGAAGTTTATGAAAAGTATATTACAATGAGAGAAAGAGAGAGAGAGAGAGAGAGAGAGAGAGAGAGAAATAGAGCGAGAGAGAAAGAGAGATAGAGAGAGAAGGAGAGAAAGAGAGAGAGAGAATGTGTTGTTCTCTCTCGCATTATATCAATCTTTCGAAGCTAATTGTCTTACTTCGCGTACGCGACGTACCGCGTATCTGGTTACAACTGGCGACTATGTTTACCTTGCATAAATTCGAGATCTTGCCTATAAAACCCACTGCTGCCATCATCATACATGAGCTTCCGATAACGTTTCTATAATCTTATGTATATATATATATATGTGTATGTGTGTGTGTGTGTGTGCGTGTGCGTGTGTGTGTGTGTGTAGATATATATATATATATAATATCTGTCTCTCATTTCCCTTTTCTGTATTACTAGCAATTATTGATCAATTTTTCTCTCTTTTTACTTTTTTTTTGTTCCTTAATCTTAAACAATCATTCATTTACTTTGTATTATATGAATAATCTTATTTATTCATTTTTTTCTTTATTATTATTATTATTGTTGTTGTTATTATTATTTATTTATATTATATGTATGCATATAGATTTGAAAAAAAAAAAAAAACAGAAATAAATGGGTCGGACGAGATTTGAACCTAAAAGACTATAATTCGTCTACTACACGAGTTAGTCTAATATATTATTGATCTCATAAATCTGACAAAAAAAGGCTAAATTTTTTATATTATTGATAAATTCGACATTGTATATACTTAATTTGATATATTTAATAAATTAATTTAGCTTAATATCTATATAAGAATTATAGATATTTTTACTTTATTGGCGTTTATTTTCCAAACGCATTTTGTTATACTATTGAATCGTCGAATTTAATAAATTTGTTTTTTCTTTAAACCTGAAAATTCTACAATTCTAATCTAAAATTATACATTATTTAATCTAAATTATAGTTATTTAATTAATAATAAAATTATAATTATTAATCTAAAATTATACATATTATTGTTCGATTGAAACGAATTTTTTAATTTTAATAAAATTCCTTCTATCATAATTTTTCAATCTCACGTAATATATGCGTTGAAAAAGAAAATGACTTCGAAGAAATTAATATGCTTAATTCGTTTTCCAATGAAAAGATAAATAGAGATAGATAAAGAGAGGTAGAGATGGATAAAGAGAGAGAGAGAGAGAGAGAGAGAGAGAGAGAGAGAGAGAGAGAGAGAGAGAGAGAGAGAGAGAGAGAGAATATCCATACGTAAGTAAGAAAAAAAAAATTTCTAAGTAAAGAAGAGAATCTTTCTCTTTCTCTCTCTCTCTCTTTGTAAAGATGCGTCATTTAATAAATTTAGTCACGTGCATCGTTGCACACGAGTCGCTAATACACGCGTATCATGTCTAATTAATCGATTCGTATCACGAGCCACACGATCCTTATGTTACATGGGCCAACTTCCTCGGTACAAATCAGATACTTTTGTTTGGACAATAAAAAAGAGAGAGAGAAAGAGAGAAAAAAAGAAAATAAGGAAATGAAAAAGAAAAAAAGAAAGAATGAAAAAAACACGACGCGTGTACTATCACGCGTGCGTATTTCAACATAAACATATACAGAAGGAGAGAGAGAGAGAGAGAAAGAGAGTGTTCAAATGCTTGAGGTTATGAATATTACGTGCTATGACTCATTATAATTTTTTTTTTTTTTTTTTTTTTTTTTTTTTTTTGTATAAATAGTAAAATAACACATTACACGTAGATAGATATATATATATAGAAACGTGCCTTTATGAATGGGGCCGTATCCATTTGTATTACTATAATATCCGATGCGACGAACCGGATAATCTTTTAAATGGTTTCTAATATAATCTGCGAAGCGTATATAAACAAATATTAAAAGAAGAAAATAAAAAAGGATTATTATGAATTATTCATTATTGTCATAAATGACATGTTTAGATATATAATTATGGGTTGAGGTTTAAAAAATATAACGCGAATCGCTTCGTGTTTCGATTTTTATCGTCGAATTTTTTCTTACTACGATTAAAATCATTATTTCGTTTGATCGTGTAAATTCTTTTGTTTTGTTTTGTTTTTTTTTCTTTTTTTTTTTTTTTTTTTTTTTTTTGTAAATAATTAATCAAAGTTGAGATTCATTTGTATATCTGTTATATGATATTATATGATTTTTGTATTATTTAAACGTTCTCAATATTCGTGTCGTTCAAATTAATATCATTTATAATATCGCAAAAACAAAAGAAATTAATTGAACGTAATCGTTCATTTAACGTTCAAAAAAAGAAAAAGGAAATAAAAATAAATATGGAAGGTGATCTGTAAGCCAACAAAAGAAAAGAAGCAACGAATTCAATTTATTCAATTACAAAAATTTGTTCGACGATGTATATAGAACGTCGAACGAAAAAAAAAGAAAAGAAAGAAAATGAAAGCAAATGTACAAATAATAAGGAAATTAAAATTTATTAAGGGAAAAAAAAAAGAAAAGAAAAGAAAATAATTGAATGTAAAATAAAATTAAATTAATCAAAGATAAAAAAAAATATAATGAGATCTCTTGAATATGTGTATCTCATCTCTCTTATGCCAAAGTAATATAGAAACGTAGATATTACGATGACCCACTCACCGGTTTAGCTCGATATATCGATCTTCCGGCAACAAAAGGAGGAGGAACGGAGCACGCGGCTTGACGTCCTAGGTTGTGACGAAAGCAACCAGAGCAAACTCCTTTTTATATAATATCATATATAACATATATATATATATATATATATATATATATATATATATATATATATACGTGATATGTTTACATACTTTTACTTTTTTCTTCAATTCTTTTTTTACTTCAGAAAATATTGTCGAATTGCATACAACAATCAAAATTTTGAATACAATGTATTGACTTGGAATGTCTTTAATGTGTATCAGACAATGTCTTTATACTATATACTTACATAAATATATGAATATATTCATAATGTACATATATACGTACGTACGTGCATTTAATTTTCTTTTCTTTTTTATTTCAATTTTTTTTTTTTTTTTTTTTTTTTTTTCTTACGAAAAATGTGGAATCTTTTCATATAAATATTTTCTAGTACATTGACCTCGAATCCTCTTAATCTATATGGAAAGCATGTCTGTGTTTTATGTACTTTAGTTGGTATATACGTATACGTATATAAGTAATTTTACTTTTTTAAAAATATTCTTTTTATATCATGAAAAATGTTAAATTTTCACAAATAATATTAACAAGTTCATTGCCCTGGAACATTGTAGGATCGATGGAAAATATCGATAAGATAGTTGGCGAGATCGACTGACCTCTTTGATCGTCTTTTGTCAAATGATTAGACTTTTGACCTCTCCGAAGAGATCTTACTACTATCACATTTGTAACGTTATCGAATTCTTTTATCTTCTATCGGGCCGTCCTATATTAAATCATTTATCTCAATGAAATTATTCTTTTTTTTTTTTTTTTTCTTTTTTTTTTTTTTTTTTTTTTTTTTTGTATTTTATCTTCCAGAATATAAACGTAATTTTCATTGATACGTAAAGGCTACTCATGAAAAATTCAAGAAACATTGAAAATTTACTCTGAGAAAGAAGGAAAGGAAGAAAGAAAAAAGAAACGAGCAAAATCATAACTCATATAAAAACTTTGATAATAATTCATACAGAAGAGAAGGTCGATTAGTCGGAGATAAGATCAGTAAGCAACCAAAGCAAGTAATAATCGATAAAACATACTTAAAATAATGAGCGTTTAATGTGTATGAATGAATATGGTATTCAAATTTATCGCTTCAATTTGCAAATTTGAAACTTCCACATATGGAATAAGTATAGAAGATGGGTCATACGTTCTTAGATAATTTAAAAAATTGATTAAAACTTTTTAAAGATTATTCGTTAGACTTGTAATTAGAGTTGTAGCTTCATAAGTTAGAGCTTGTAGTTTTACGATTTGAGAAGAAAAGAAGAAAAAATTTGTTTAAAACTGAAAAAAAGTAATAATTAATTTTTAATATCGGTTAGGAGATTTTGGCTCCACCCTGTATATGCGTGAATGTAGAAAATTATGCCATATGCTATGTGACTTATTAAACACATATGTTGTGCAAACATATGTACATATGCATACATCACATACTGTTTAACGAGGAGTAAAATATGTATATGAGAACGCACCTGCGTACGGTCGTTCTAACTTATCGATTCGACTAACCTTTGACGAAGTAAAAAAAAAAAAAATAATGAAATTACATCATTAAATAATTTATCTTTAATGATTT